GATTAACGAACAACAGCTTGACGCATCGCTGCCGGTGAAGTGAGCAAGTTATTGTTCAACTCGACAAGTCCTACACACAACTAAACATGCAATGGTAATCCTTCCTTCTGTTTATTTATTGTTGTTTTCCCTTTCATTTAAATTGATGTATGACTTATTCCAATCTGGTTCGTTTGTAAAAAAACTAATAGAATGTCAATTGGAGGTTAAAACAAAAACATATTAGGCCGATGTCACACGTGTATGTTGATTTTGAACAGCGGTGTCTTCTTTTATTAAAGTTTTGTTAATTTTTTGCATTGTGTTGTTGTGTGTTAAAACCAACAAGGACAATAGAATGATGGTCCAGTGGCCGACATCCTGTGTGTATCATAAACAAATAGAATATTGCCGGTCCCCAACTTTTTGTCCTGGTCGGAAATTCTGAGTGCCGGTCGCTAGCCATCCCTGCATACTGTAGCTAAGATGTGGGTACTATGAATATACTACATCAGATTGTAATACAATGTAGTGTGATTTGCTTGCCCTCTGACTAAATGAATTGTCCAAGATGCAACTGCCAAGTTCAACCCCTGGCCAGAATTTTTTCCATGGAAAAAAACATACTGGTTTTTAGTCCCTGTTCGAACACAGTCCAAAACTGGGACTAATGGATTGACCTCAGTGTTTCTGTGCTTGTGTGCTTCTAGACCTATATCTTAAACATGCCTTGACCGTTTACATTCATATGTCACACATACATCATACATAATGCCGACTGGCAGCCATTTTGTTTTAATGAATGTGGTTCTAGTGCCATAACTAATTATGTTCAAATTTTATATATTCATTATACATCATGTCATATATATACAGATGTATTCAAAATGGGCGATGGCCATTTTGTTTCAATTATTGCTGTTCCAGAGTAATATCTCTCAATATGGACAAGTACTTGTTTTATGATTAGATACAAGATGACTGCATGTCAAGCTTTTTTATCCATATATCTGACATGTTTATGTTTGAACTATATTATTATAAACAAAGCTACATGTATATATCTTAAATTTGATAACTAACTGGGACTGTGCCATGCATGGCTTGTTTAATCTCCATTTTCACATTATTGACAATAGATCATTCTTGCATAATAAATAACACCCTAATGTTTTTTTTTTTTTTTGCAGATTCCAAGGGTTTAGTAGCAGCACCAAAGTTTCTGTTTGGTCAAAACATGGGACAGAGAGTGCAGCTAAAGGTAATATGACAAGCTTGGACCCAGGATTTAAAAAAAAAAAGCGAATCACTCCAGGAAATGATGGCTAACAATGCTCTTCTAATATTAGTGAACTAATTCGGAATACTTAAAGGCCCATATCATTATCCTGATTATACGTAGAACACGTGTGATTTAGGATTTAAATGTTTATTGAAGGACAGTGCGCACATCAAACAAAAGAGATATTACAATCGAGCCTTGTTGATCGTAATAAATTGCGTTGCTTGTAACGTTATGAAGGAATGCTTTTTTTTAACTAAACCTTTGAACCTTGCTTAGGTTGGGCACCAAAGAGATGCATTGTTTGGTTTCTAGATGTCTTTTCTACACTCAAGTCTGCAGAAGCTTTAAAAAAGGAGAGCATTTCATTGTAACTATTTTCACTTTCCTTAGCAAAATTCTTTCAGACTTTCAAAACCTTGATTACTGTAAAGACATTTAATTATTCACTGGTTTTAATTTCACCGTTTTCGCCGATACCTGAAATTAACTAAATTAAATTATTATGAACATGAAATAACAATAGAACTCAATCTTTAACTAGTCAATCCATGAATTTAAAATCCAGTGAATATGGTCAAATATCAAGTATTTTTTTGGCATATTAATAATTGGTTCACTGGCTTTTACATTTCAAGACATCAGACTTGTTAGATATATCAATGAGGACAATCCGCTTGAATTCGTGCCTGGATAAACTTTTTAAAATGTTTGAATAGAATTTGTACTCAACATTGAGAATATAATGTTTGTGGTGGCAGATAGCGTGCTGGGATTGTTTTCTGCTGTATAGATATTTTGCGTCTAAGATGTAGGATTATCTTCATAGTTTATGTGCCCATAATACATGTGTATTAGCCAAGTTTTGGTTGCTTATTTACCATGCACACAGAAAGAGCACTTCCAGTCAGTAGGAATAAGCAGGATTAGGTGAATGTTTCTTCATTTCAGCTTATGTTTTTTACCAACCATGTTGATTTTGTACTTGAAGCATCCTACCCACCTGCAATGTGACATATGACAACATCTTTTATAACAACTTGGTTTCCTTTGGGATGAACATGTAAGCCATTCATGTAGCTTCAACACACAAAAAAACTTGAGGCTCACAAATGAGCATTATAAAATTGGCCTCCTTCTGTCACAGGCTCTCACTCAGTAATGTAGCAGATACAAATCAAATCTAGCCAGTTACTGCAGAAACCACATAAAGTATTTTTTGTGTCTCGTACAGCGAAACTGCTAAGCCTGATGACTAGGTTTGCTTTCGCTAATCATTAGCTGTCATCGACCTTTTCTAACGAAAAGTTGACACAAATAAATATAGGAGCAAACCACGCCCACTGACCTGACATGACCCGCAAACCCAATCCATCAAATACTATGCATGGATTTCCAAATATCAGTAGTTTGATATTGAGTTTAGTGGTTTCTGCAGTATATGCTTGTCTTTTATGGCTTTTTCTTATTATTCCAGAGACAAGCAGATAAACAGTTGGACCCTGATAGCATAAATGAAGAAGGTACTTGAAATTTCTAATATTTGCTACTAATCTTCCATTGACCAAACTATTGTTGAATTCAAAAAATGCAAAAATTAATTAAAATGTGAATATTAAGTTTTTTATTGAGAGATTAAAAAGTATTATCTTTCACAGCCGTAGCTCATTCATTAATCTTTGGTATACATGTGTTGTCGTAACCTGGCTATCACAATGTTATCATTACTATCACCCATCCACATATCACAAGTACAAGTACAGTAGAACGTCGATTATCCGTACTGTTAGGGGGACATGCTTTTTGTTCGGTTATGCAAACAGTTCGGATATGCGATCTTGTGTGGCCGTGCTCAAATTTACAGGCTCGCGTACACACAAATTCTAACGCACATGACTGTAATGAAATCAAACAATAATACATGTAGAGTACGTCATTAAAAACATTTTTATTTAATCAGTAATA